AAGCGCCTTAGGGACGAGGTTGGACATGATTCCTTGTTCGGAGATATCTTCTGCTTGATTTTGGTAAGTCATTGTCAAATGAGTCCTTATTTGTCACCAAATCCAACTTCCAAGTGATTCCGTTCTTGCTAAGATACGGAATCTACACAATACCAAATTTATCGTATCTGATCAAAGCAAGTTCGATTTTACTGGCTCCATTCTGGAAGCCATGCTTGTTCATGTACCTACTGACAACGTGGTTATTGCTGCATATCAAAAGAAGCATGCATCTGGGGTTTGTACGATGCTAGAAGATTTGCGAAAGGTACTTAAGGAAGTGAACAAACCCAAAAAGGGAGGAAAACAAAAGAAGAAAGCATGACCTTTCGAACCAACTCTAACTATGAAGAAGCAAGTAAATCAGGTTGCTTAGAAGCCTAAGTCTCCACCTCCTGCTCAAGAGGATTCCGACTCTGATTCCTACTGTGACAACCCGAAATTTATTCCATCGTTGTAACCCACTTTCTGCTAATAAAATAATTTTTATTATTATTTTTTTTATAAATTTTTGGGGTTAAACAAATAAAATAATGTTTATTTTATATTCATATTTATTGAAATAAATAAAACACATGTAATATCTTTAATTTCTTTTGGGAAGAATCTAGTTTACAGCGTAAGCCGGATTACGACCGTTTAATCGAGTAAAACTTTAAACCTCGTTTAACATAAGTATCGGGTAGTTGTATACCGGGTAAAACAATAAAGCGTTATATAAGGGTGAGTGGACATTCCTTTGGACCTTTTTACCACCCTACACACTCTCTCTATCTACTCTCTCTCCTCAAGGCCGATTTTCTCCCAAAACCGCAAGTTTCCGCTTCCAAATCATAATTTCCCTCATCCTAGCTTGTTCTAAAAATCATTGCATGTTGATATGGCTTGAAAATCATCCAATAAGGCCAAGGGTAAGGAGTTTATGGCCTAAGAACACTCTTAGGCTGTAAACCCCTAAAAGTGTGCCAAATATGCCCCAAATCTCCTCCTTAGTCTTAGAAATTAGCTTAGAATTTAGCCTTGAAGTATTTTAGACATTAAACACCAAGTTTAGGGGCTTGAATGAGGGTTTACGGCCCAAGAACATTCTTAGGCCATAAACTCCCTCAATCCATGCAAATCAAGCCTTAAACCCCATTTTAGTCGTATACCTTCACATAGAAATTGTTAGGAATGAGCAAGGGACCTCAAAAACGAAGTTTAAGGGTTGTCCAAGAGTTTACTACCATAAATCTAGGGGTTTACGCCCGTAAACTCCCAAGGAGTGGTCCTAGGACCGCAAACTCCAAGGGAGTACCCTTCTTTAACCCTAAACACCTCTTAAGCCTCAGATTAAGAGCTAGAACTACCCCTAGTAGTGTATGAACCCTTTAAGCACTCAAAACCACTCCTTCCATGAGTTTACGACCGTAAACTCATGGAGGAAATGGTCCCTCAGCCGTAAACTCAGTCAAGGTGAGCTTTAGAAGAGTAAACTCCATAGTGAGGTCTTACTCTTTCATTGCAACCCAATAGCCTCCTAACACTTAACCAAAGCGTTTCCCTTCACATTAGGATGTCTATACATGTAAATTAGTGTTTCATCCACTAATTATATGAAAACATGTGTCTTCATATGTCACTAGGTTTATAAAGTGTGTTCAAGTACTCGCTTGACACCAAACACACAACCGAGACTCCTATCCGATCCACTCGCTCCAGGTGAGTTCATACCCCTTAATTAACTTTTTTTTAAATGTTTTTACATGTTTTAGGGGGGATACAAGTAAATGCAACAAGTTCTAGTTCCTACTTATATGTGATTTATAGCTTATAACCAAAAAGGATCTCTTTATACTTTTATCTATTTGTCGATAAAACTGTTTTCAATATTCATCAAACGCATTTTATAAATTATTGTGGCTAAACTATTTTCAAATTGTATTTAAATTACTTTTCTTTTAAACTATATCGACATCCATATATTTATATAAATAAGACTTGAAGGACTTAGGACCGATAGCTCACCTTATTTCCTGTTCTTGTTTGATTGTGGTCTTAGGGTATAATGTTATCCGTTTGACTGTCGTTGATTTCTTACTTATATATCATAAATATTATCTTGGATATGATAGTATTCATCTTATATAATACCTTTGTAAATCAAAGGCATGAGACTCTACACTCTTTATAACTATAATAGGTATAGTTAACACTACTACTTGACACCTTTATCACTAGGATACCCGTTACAACTACTACTATCACGCGTTTAGACACATTTAAGAGAACCCTCTCTATACTATAACTAAAAGTTACTATACTATAATTCAAGAGAATACACTAATCCAGAATATATCATACTATTCCTATATACAACACTTTACTACATAAATACCATGTAACCAGGGCTTCCCGAAAGGAAAGAAACACTACATGTATAGATCTATACAGGATGGACACTATTACACCCCGACTATTAAATTACAGCCCAAGCCAACTAGGCCCAGGGATGGCACTACAACACTAAACTGCAGATGATCGAGAAGGTTATCGGAACCTCTATAATCATTCAGTTCAGTTACATAAGAAATCTCATTTATATTCAAATTAACACACTAAGAATTAAAGTCTAATCAAATTTCCCGAAGTAAATGAATATATATTAAAGTTTTCAACACTACTACAGTCAACCAACAATACTTTTAGTCATCTACGCTACTTGTATGAAACTTACTACCTTATTTTTTTAGCACTGATAGTTTCAATGGAAATACTTTTACATACTCAAAGGATTTAACTTACACATATCTAAATATAGAAAATATAGGATTTTGTAGGGATTTCTACTACTCTCAACATTCATTTCAACACATATATTAATTAATTGTAAAAACTTTTATGCAACAAATGAGACTAAAATCTTATGAACTCACCAGCTTTATGCTGATACTCGTTTTAAAAATAACTTGTATCCTCTGGTCAAAGATAGACAGGTACTGGTGCAACTTTTGAGAAGATGGAGCATATAAAAGACCCATATTTTATTTTTATTATACTTTTGGTGTCTATTAACTGTACAGAACACGTTTGTATTTAAAGAGCTATATTAATGCAATGGTTGTTGTCTCTTGTTTTTACTATTATGCAATTGTTATGATACTGTACGCGACATCCTCCACCCAGAACGTTTTCCGCCGTTCTCTGTTTTAGGGTGTGACACCGACTGAGGATACTGCGAATGTATCATCTCCACTTTCAACTTCAAATCCTATGACACATGATCACTTTTAGATTCCTTTTCCTATGACTTCTCCTACTGATACTTCTACACCAATCTCTACACCCATTACCATCGCTCCTTGTCCCAATATATATGTTGGGGTTTCGTAACCACATATCTCTTTTGCTCAATCCACCCCACTGTACACTTATTTGACAACAACAACGACCACCACCACAACTTCGCCTTAAATGACTGTCAATGTATCTGATACGGGGGCAGGTGCTTTTGGTGTTACTGTTGGTTTCAGTACCTTTCCAGTGTCGCCCTTAAGGGCTAATTTTTCTGATACTGTTTTTTTGGTGATGATCGGGATGACTTTCAAGACTTCCACTATATTCACTTTACTGCTCATCAGGAGAGTGATGATGATGAGGCGCCCATGAAAAAAGGGAAATTCAATACCCTTACTGAAAAATTAGATACTCTACTCGAGTCTTCCAAAACATCATCTAGTAGTGAATACTCCCTTAAGTCTGTGAAAGCGTAAATTGAGACTCTCACCAAGGAACATGCCAAAAGCCTTGATGCATCTGCGAAAACAATTGAGAACTCAGAGAAGAATGTTAGGGAAACAACCAAAAATGTCTAAAAACTACTTGCTAATGTTACTCAATTTATGGAGGATTTTCAGAGTTCCTTTGATAAAAAAATGAAGTTGCGAACAATGTGATTACGAATCTCAACTCCACTCTTCACACTGAGAAAGAGGCTCTCTCCAAAGTTCGTTCACAATGGAATGCCGAAATTAATGCCTTTATAGTCTCCAAAATTGAGACGCCTCAAGCTAATTTGGCCACCAAAAACAAAATCATGGATCAGCTTGCACTTAAAACTGAGAAAACAAAAGTTCTTTCTGTGAGACTATCTCATGCCAACCAACAACTTGATGAGCTTAAATCCAAAAAAGTTGTTCCCAAAAGTTGTGTCGCAAATATTTGATGGGTTTCAAACAGTACATCAATCCTATAGTGTACATGCAAACCCTAATAGCTTTGGATCTAGTTTATCTAATGAATACGCAATTGATTATCCAAATCCATAAACCCTAGATCTAGCATACATTTAATCATATTAACATAAGATAGGGTTTAGATCTAACCTTTTATTGTTATATAGCAATAACAATCAATCCTTGGCTTCAGAAAACATAGTGCCTCAAGTGTTGCGCCTATAATGGAGTCACAAACATCACTAAACAACTTCGATGAAGAGGGAAGAGAGGGAAGGCACCAAAAATGGTTGGAAACCATAAAGGAAGTACTAGTTACGTTTTTGGAGCCCAAGGGTTCCTTATATACTTAGGCTATTAGGGTTATCAAATAAAGAAACCCTAATTTGACTCATAAGCCCTAAGCAGCCTATGGACCCCTTCTGGAACATGCCTTGGACGATTTCTAATGGGCTTCCCCATAGAATTGGACCAAGCTATTATTCCAAGGTGATCCATAGCCCAATTGCAACTATCTTATAATTACAATTCCAGTCACCTAAGTTTAGTTATTCTCTTTTAGCCACAAAATTAATTCTTAATTAATTCTTGACTAATATTAATTAAACATTATGATTTCTCCTTTAATATATTAATAAATCATAATTAAACCTCTCTCTCTTCTTAATTCATCCTACATATTGCTATGGTTAAGGCAACCCAAAAGGACCATGCTCATAATCGTGTCAACATGGGGGAGAACCTAAGATGACATCTGGTGAAGAACCTCAAGAAAACAACTGGTGATTCTAGTGAGTGCGAACAAAAGACATAGTCAAAATCAAAAGATCCGAAGGGTAATGAAGCTTCAAGATTGATCGAAAAAGGAAAATTGGTTGATGACGATGCTGAAGAAGAAGAATATTTGTCTGAAGGGTCAAAGCTCAAAAGAAAGAAATGTAACCAAGAGCTTGATCAAGCACAACATGTTGCAAAGGAAGCTGAAGTAGCTGAAAACGAGGCTCGTGATGCACGAGTCACTCTCAAAATTGAGAATGCCCACTTCCCTCCTTGGTCCATGGAACGGATTCTGAATGAAGCAATTGACAATCAAAACATTTACTGGTTGGAGCCATTTGTCTCGTTTGAGCTAGAGAATACTTCGAAATCTCAGTTTGATTTTCCGATCACTCTAAAGGCTTTTCTATTTCGCTGTTTTGAAAAGGTTAAGAAAGCTTCGATATCAGATGATGATGTCAATCACATGCTTTTCTCCTTCTATCTTAAGCACGAGAAGCCTCAATAAGAGACATGGAGTTCTATGAAGATAGCAGTTGTAAATGTATTTGGTCCAATTGAAACAGAAAGCTTTATCAACGCTCAATTCAAAGCATCTCGAGGGGCAAGAAAATCAATATTTGAATTTACTCTCGCTGACCTGCCGTGCCTAAATCCATACAATTGGATCTCTTTTTTTATTCTCTTGTCAAAATATGAACATAAATTCGAACCAATTATGGAACATTTGAAAAGGATGTTAGTCTCTTACATTCAAGAAGTTATAAAAATGGATATGGAGATTGTTGCAGTTGTAACATCCGGATATCCATGCATGGAAATTTGAGTATTTTATTTTGGGATATGAAGAGACTCGGTGAGTTGACGCCTCAACTCGTCGAGTAGGATTGCGATTTTGTGACATGTTTAATGAAGGGACTCGACGACTCGGGGATCTGGACTCGCCGAGTCAGCACTGTTAAGGGAAACCCTAATTTTACGGGTTTGAGCCCTATTTAAAAGACCTGATAGCCCTCTTGTGCGGCTACCAATCCAGAGAGAGATACTATAGAGATCTTGAGCGAAGAGTGAGAGAGATAATGCCCTTTTGACCATTCTTGGTGTGATTTTGCAAGGGAGAAGTCATTTCCATCAAAGGGAGGTGAAGGGAGTTGTTGATTCAGAGTTCCTGAGCTCGTATCTTCACTGTAGAGGTTTCAAATCGAATTCCCTTTTTCTGTTTTGGTTAAGATTGGTGATTTTACGGTTTTCTACACCTTTCTATGGCTTGTAGTGATGAGTATAGGGTCCTTTTGTGTGAGAGGTCCCACATCTGGACCCATAGAGGTCTATAGAGCCTTATTTTGTATGCTTTATGTTGGTTCATTGAGGGAATGTGACTTTGATGCCATTTTAAGAGCCATTTCTCCAAGGAAATCCTTGTAATCTTTGCATGTATGACAAGCCTCGACCTTTACGTGGTTATTGGTCATAAGGAAGCCAGATCTATGGATTAGAGGAGCAGATCTAACCTCAGAAGGTTGGATGAGTGTTGTCATGGGAGCAACTCGCCGAGTCCATGGGAAGACTCGACGAGTCGAGTTGGGTTGCCCCGCGATTCGAATCCAGTGGAAACACGTCGAGTGGAAGGTTCACTCGACGAGTCAAGTGACGCCTTGGAGGAGTCAGAAGACACGTATGGACTTGCCGAGTCATCCTTGTGCACTCGACGAGTATGGTTAGAATTAACCGTTGACTTGAGTTGACTTCTATTGACTTTGGGGTTTGGTCAACATAAGTAATAGAAACCTTGGAGGGGTAAAATGGTCTTTTACCCACTACCAGATTAGAGAGGGAAAGAGTAATCTCCGGTTTAATTAGAGTTGACACTTCAAGTGTTAATTAGAGATATTTGCCTTATGTGTTAGGCAGTGGCGAGTCCGAGATTCAATTGCAAAGATAACCGCTTTCTGCTAGCCAGGTGAGTCTTCTCACTATACTTTACCTTGAGTGGTAATTAGAGTTATGTGACAAAGTATCTTGTATGCTATGTATGTGATGTGTTGCACTGCATTATTTCTATGTGATTTATACTGTGTGTGTGTGTGCCAGAGTTTACAAAGTTAGGATCGAAAGGTCCATAGAGTTAGAACCAGAGTGTCCACATAGTTAGGGCTAGAGGGCCCACATAGTTATAGCCTCGAGTGGCTAATATGTATTATATATATAGTATTTCGGGGAACTCACTAAGCTTCATGCTTACTGTGTTATGTGTTATGTGTTTCAGGTTTCTCTCAGGATCACAGGACGGCACCGGCTCAATTGTACACACTCGAGGAAGAATTATGTTTCTGAGGATCCTGGATTATTATTTAGTTGAATATGGAGCTGTTTTTGGAATTTAATCAAAACGAGATTTTTACGAAAAGTGTTTTGAGATTAAGTGATTTTAAATGAGAATTTTAGTTTTGAAAAATTTCGGAGTTACAGTAGTGTTGAGAAAGAAACCAACAGTGCTACCTAAAAAAGCTCTGAATTACATCAGCAAGATCAAACTGGGAAAAAACCGAAAGGATAACTGGAGCGTGCTTTTTCAACTCCGAGAAGGCGAAAACGTTTAGAGGTGCTTGTTCTTCTTATCAGACAAGCGTCTTTATTCTACAGCTTGTCTGAACTACATTGTGGGGAATTCTAAACAATGTAAAGAGAATGATGATGTGGATAAGAAGTGCTTTATAGATATGATAAAATGGTATATCGTGGTTCCGAACACCTTTCGTGGATTAATGCCAAAGCTATTCAAAGTTCAAAAATGACAGCAAGATTATAAAATCTACCTCCTTAATTGACACAAAGGGGGAGATTGTTGGGATAAATAATGTTGTGTCAATTGTTTTGTACTAGAATAGCCCATTTTGTAATAGGCTGGGCCTATCCACCCAACTCTTAATAATATTAGGGTTACACTATTTATAGTGCTTGGATGCACCGTTTTAGGATTAACGAGTTGTATTGCCCTACATAGTCTTTACATAGAAGTTCTTATTGAACTCTTCTAAGGCTATGGTGAAGGCAACCCAAAAGGGCCATGCTTATAATCTGGTCAAGTGCATACCAAAATAGTTATGGACTTAGACACTAATCCAATAGTCTCCCACTTGGATAAGTCTAATAACTATTTTCCATAACTTTAGAAAACTGATCAGCAATCGTAGCTTTCAAAAGCCGTTGTCAACTTTGATCTTATCAGATACGCGTGTCCTTTAGTTAAGGGATCATATATTCCTCCATTCTGAAGATATCGTATAGACACAAGAGATGAATTTCAATCATTCACTCTATATTGTTTCCCGACTTCCGATATATGACGACTGACAACTGACTACAATTAAACACATCAACTTAGTCCCGGCTTGTCCAAACGCTTAGGTATCATCAATAAACCATCGAGGGGCCCAAAAATATCGTTTTTATCCTACTTTGGGTAAAAGGAATGGATAAACTTCGACTCAAATGTTCGCTTGCATTCACTGATTGAATCACACACAAAAATAAGTGTTATAACACCAAGTTACTGGTTCGTTTTCTTATTATGAATTTGCAACCGACCGACAAAAACAACTCACGTATCTCGGTTTCAAGAAGATACAATATTATCGACTCACAATCACTTGCGATACAATCCACGAAGTGATTCACGTGAGCGTGGATTTAATACAATACTCTAATCTTATCAAAGCACTCATGAACTCTGCAGCAAACTTGTGTTATTTCTAAACTCTTTAGACAATCTATAGACTCTTCACGAGAGTCTTCCTTCATACCTACTTCCAAAGTATCACTGACTGTGGAGGTTCGAATAACCCAGTTATTATGGAAGTCAAAACATGGAAAATTGAAACAAAATAATAATACTTAATCTTATATGGCCCCAAAACCTTTGAGTGTAAATAAAACACTTTTATTTAAACACCATATTGAATACTCATTATTTATTTTTTAATGTTTCAGCTAATCAACTAATTACTTGAATTACAACAATAATTGTCCCATGCTCCGAGCATGCACACTATGTTTCATATGGTCCATACTTTGTGAAATAAATCAATTGAAAACCTTTTCAACGATGCTCATTTCACAACTCCTAATCCTCATCGTTTGTGTAAGAACACAAGTTTATTGCCACTACTAGAATATAATAGATTCTAACATATTATGCTACGATCCTTTCGTAAAGTCATAGCACAAAAGTCACCAAGACTTGGCCAATGAAACTACTAAGTACTCTATCAGAAGTTATTACAAAAAGTATTCTATAGATGTGATGTATTACACTCAAAGCAAATTCCTTTGAACATCCTTTTTGCATAAAATTTTCTAATCTAGACATAAATGTTTTAATATCCAACTCCCAATATGGAAACATTTCCATATTTGCCATGTGACAACTCATTCTAAATAGAATCGTATCTATTCATAATAATGTCGAAATGGTCCATTCAATGCTATACTTCCATCTACTCACAAGGAACAAATCCTTAGCGAACCTTAGATTGTCCTTTGATAGTTGTTTAGTAATTTCAGTCAAAAACCGCTCTAGTCCCTTTTCCCTTTTAATGCGCTAAGCATTGTGAATGTTTTAGAATGATCAAACATTATAGTATATGCAATCAATCCTATACCCGAAGCATATGGGACACGATTCATAATGTCTTACACAGAGACATGATACTTTACCAGTCTTTTGCTACAATATTTCTAATTGCCATGTTCTCACAATTTTGATTATGAAAAGGGGTGCCATAATCATAACCAAATTTTAAGAATGCAATTATCCTTTCCACATATATAATTTCCTCATGCTGAACCATTCCAACACAACATTCATATATATTTGACTAAATTTGATTAAAATTCCACAATCTAAGCCTTTTAGATTTGAAATGAAGTATAATATTCTCTCCCTTAATTATAGCAAAACAAAATTTCAACCCTTGCGACTTTGCAAAGTATAACTCTTGTTTTCTATAATTAATATTTCTAACTTGCAATACTTACCATAATAATCATACTCCCACTAACATGATGATTATTTCCTTATTGGCATAACATTTATGCTCCCATTAGCTTGGACATGTATTCAGAAAACTATGGAACTTCCAGAAGACAATGCTTATTGAATTTCTTAACTTCATATTTCTAATACCTGATGCTTTGATAAGCCTTTATCTAAGCTTATTAACTTCATACACCTTTGCCTTAAAAAGCCTACATGTAATTCTAAACAAATTTAGAACTTATGTTACTAAGTCCCAATGTTCAGGCTAATTGCCAAATCTCACAATTCAAACTATGAAGAGGGATGCCCTAATCATAATCAAATTTGATAATACAATTTACACAACTGCTATCTCCTTAAAATCTCTCTTAGTGAAAGCATTTCCTCACAAATATTTTCATGAAGGAGGCAAACCTTATGACACTTAGACTTTATGATGTATACGTTCCTATCCATGTAAATTTGTCATG